CAGCTCTAGTTCGACAAGTACTTCACGCACAATTTTACAAAGTATGTATGTATATCTGATGCATATATAGTGTGCTATGCATGCACGTACAGATAGTGTTTGCAGTGACAGTGACGACATAGTTTGTGACTTGAAATTCATTGTTCCGGAAGATGGAGTTACAGGGGATCGCTGAAGCCGCGGGGCTTGCTTAGGAGCCGTGACTTGTGCCGCCATTATTGCCTGGTTTTCCAGTGCTCGTAGCAGAGTCGCCCGTTGCCGTTGCCACTTTCTCCTATGGCATAAAATTTTCCGGTAGAGAATGAATACAAGGAAATGGAGAAAGACTGTTGAATTATACTCTAGCAGATGAATTGACTACTTTACCCCTCAAACTAATGTCCACTTAACCTTCAACTAACGGAAGGACCAACATTGGAAAGATTTCGAAAGTCAAGTGTCTACATTGTCCAAATTAAAAGTCAGGGATCAATTGTGGAAAATCAACATAGTCGGAAGACCATTGCTGGAATTAACTCCACATATTAATTGCATTTTTATATGAAAAATTTTATTTGTTATTTACACCACCCATTTAATAGGTGTAATAACTTTATAGGTGGTGCAAATAGAAAAGTGTTATTTGCACCACCTCATTAAATATAGTCAAACATTAATCTTTATTATTTATTTTTATTTAATAATCAATCTAATAATTAATTAAAAAAAAAAAAAAAAAAACGAAGAAACTGACCTTCTCCCGTGAGAAGGCGAGGGGTTGCCTTCTCTGATCCGGTGAGAAGGCAGTCCAGTGGGTCGCCTTCTCCGGCAGGTAGCCTTCTACCTAGGTTTCCTTCTCTTGTGAGAAGGCAACCCATCGGGAGAAGGCTACCTGGGTTTCTTAGTTTTTTTTTTTTTTTTTTTTTTTTTTTTTTTTTTTTTTAATGTTTTTATTAATTAAATTTTGAATTAAAAAAATTATTAATTACACTTGAAACATATGGAGTTATGAACTGATAAATCACAATTCAAATTACACATGTTAATTAATTACATTTCTTTCTTTATATATATTTTTTGTTGTATCCTTTTATATTATCAATTGACTTTGAAATGGTTATTAATGGGTACCTAAGCCAATTGAAACATTTCTAATTGCTTTATCCTTTCCTCTGATCTTTGGAGAGACTACAATTGTAACATCCTTTATGCTTCATGCATGTGCAGTTTATGAGAGTAATTCCGCATTTCCACCGCAAAAAGAAAGAAAACGAAAAATCGAAGATCATTTAACTAAATAGGTAATTTTACGTCTAATTTTGACTATGGTATATATTCTGAATAAGATCTTAAAAAACACAAAATATGAAAACTATGAATTTTTTATTTTTACATTTTATAGAGTCATGAATTACTTTAAACTAACTTTGTATGAGATTATATGACTAAAATATTAAAACATATGCAAATTGTTCACTGTTGCGGCTAAGTAAAGATTATATTGAAGGAGCTAGGAAGCTTACATCGAAATCTTGAAACCTCTAAGCTAGCTTGGTCTTGAACTCTCAAGAGAAGAAATGAAGAAGAGGCAAATGGACGGATAGAGGAAGAACAATGGAATAATGCTGTTTATATAGGTGGGCTCAAAACCGTAGGGAAGAATAAAACACATGGCTAGGTAGTTCCAAATGGAGAAATTTGGGTTTGTTAAAACTTTGGATTATAATTTTAGGTCCAAAGTTGGATCAAGTTCGGGTGCGTGAGTTGTTGAAACTTAAAGTGTGTCGTTTTAAAATCTAAGATGCGTGATTTGTGTACTTAAGGTGCGTCATTTTTATGCTTAAGGTTAAGTTGCTTGGTCTCACATAAGTGTTTTTTTTTTTTTAATTCTCATTGATTTGAACCGTTTATCTAGATTTGATCAATGGCTCAGATTAAACTGCACCCGAACTTATCCCAACTTTGGACCCAATAACCGCACCAGAACCCCTCCATCTCTCTCTCTCTCTCTCTCTCTCTCTCTCTCTATATATATATATATATATATATATATATATATATATATATATATATATATATATATATATATATATATATAATTTTAATATATCTTAGAAAGAATATCAAGAATAAAATACTTATTTATTATATTTATTTAATTAAAACTAGCATTTTCACCGGTGCGTTGCACGGAATGGATTTGTTATAATATTTTAAGAATATTTGGAACGATATATAATTATATAATTATATAAATATACAACAAATATAAATTATAACAACGAATATTATACAGTGCAATTGATGAAATGGGTTGGATCGATTATATTTTCTGATATTATCATTTCTTAAATTCGAGTAAATAATTGTTCAATTACCCGTGCGATACATGTGTGATGCACATGCTATGCATGAATGATGCAAGTGCTATGCACGGATGAAATTTTTTATTATATATTTAGATAATAAAATTAAAGATGAGAATATAAATAATTCTAATATTTGAAAGTGTACAATTATTTGATTATAAGATTAGTGCAAAAGTATCACTCAATTAATTAAATAATATATGACTCGTTTGTCTGCAATTATCTTTAAAAAATTTGATATATAATATGATTTATTAATTATATTATTACTAAAATAACTGAGTGGCTTGATCCCCTCCAACGATCTCGTTACAACCTTCACATCCTTACCAAGCTCCGTGGGAGTGGTGGGAGAAGCGGGAGAAGGGGCGGGGGAGCCTTGCTCCCACAGCAGCTCGGCTTTCTCCCTAGCTTCTCCGCATACCCATGCTTTGCATCCACCCGAATCAAATGCACTCCCTACACTTTCAGCAGCATCTGTTTCAACTTCTTTTCGCAACCATTGCAGTGAATTTTCAGCTTCAGAGCAAAGGTTGTTGGAAAAACTAGAGAGAGACATTTCTGAGATGCTTCAAGAACTATGATGGTAAGCTTTTCTAGATATTCTTACACAGTTATTTGTTACACTTATAAGATGTTAATTTGGGTATTTTAGACAGATATATCAGAGACCAATTCTACCATCTTTATAAGTTAATATAATAAGCCTTAAAATAATCTTATAGTCTTCACCTAAATCCGCGGCCGGTATGGGTTTTGAGAAAGTCACATGAAACTTATTAGAGTTTCAAATGTAAAACATTCTCTTTAAATAAATATTCAGGATCAATTATGTTTTATGATATTACCATTGCTTGAATTTGACCAAATAATTACCCAATTACCCATGCAATACACGTTCGATGCACGCACAATACACGTGCTATGCAAAAGTATCACTCAATTAATTAAATAATATATGACTCGTTTTTCTGAAATTCTCTTAAAAAATCGATATGTAATATGATTTATGAAATTATATTATTACAAAAATAAATATATAAAAAAAGGAAAAATAATTAATTGTAATTATTATAAAAATAAATATAACGACTCATGTTTAGCTTAATTAACATAATAATTATTAGAAAATTATAATAATATCTGTGCAATTATTCTTTTATATCTTAAGTATATTCATTTCCACCATATCACATTTACCTTTTTCATCCTCCTTCATATTTGAATGAATTAATTGTAATTATTAGAAAAAAATCTAACAGCTCATGCTTAATTGTAATTATATTAATTCACACACAAGTTTCCTTCTTGACAAACGTGAAAGATGTCACACCGGGCCTAATTTGCCCCATGATGGCCTTACAATTAACAATAAGCTAAGGGTATTGACCTCTGGACGTGACTCATACACATTTTAATGTAATGGTAAAAGTTTGATCATAGTAATACCAATAAAAATTTAAAATTTTATATAGCTACCGAAGCGAAGCTTCAAGATAGAGGTTAGAAGATCCTAGTGTCCCCATCGATAGTGCTAATGATTTGGAGAGATAGTGTTGGCCATGTGGACCAATGTGTGTTGCTCAACATGAAAATTAAAACTTTATTTACTATCTCATGATTTGTTATAAAGTAATATCTGTTCTATTTTTCAATTTTTTTTCAGTCTAAAAAATCAATGTCTCATCACCGGTATTATTCTTATCACTAAAATTTGATCATAACCAACTACTTGGAATGATAACAAGGTATCATCAAAATACATAGTAATTGATCCAATTGTATTTAATTAGCATGTTTTACCGTTTAATTACAAACGAAGACTTGAAGAGACTACAAGTCTACGAGTGACGTTACATTGCTCGTCCTTTGTGGTGGAATTGAAAGCAACGACCTCTGACAACGCATTTTGTTGTATGGGGATTTTCAAATTCTTCTTCACCAATTATATTTCATGTTGTGGCAAGCATGCATAGATAGGACATTTTTATTTTGTGGGTCTAGGAAATATTATCTACATCCAAGATTTATAAGGAGTACTAGTAATATTTTCCTTGTTCAAAAGCGTGGCAAAATTTAATTTTCTACCAAATTTTATGACAGCGACTTTGTCCAACATTGTTATTTTTTTAAAGTATGGTACTTTACAGTACTAAATTTTTTGAGTTATAACGAGCACTAAATCCTCTATCTAACGCTAACAAGACGAGTATATAACGAGATAGTGTGTGTCTGTGTATGGGGGCAAATTATGTTGTGCAACTGTGTGCGTCATGTATGGTGCACACGGTTGCAAAAACGGCGTCGTTTTACTTTTTAAAAAAATCATTTTTGATTGCCGTTAGTTATGTAAACATTTTTTTTTTTTTGCTCTTTTGGTGGGACTGGGGTAATATTATTCATTTTTTTTATTATTATTATAAGGGAACGAGATACCCACATATACAAGCTAGATTTTCACCAAGGCTCAAACCCAACACCTTCCACATAGGAGAGCAACTTGGTACCATTGGACCACAAGGTCCTTGGTGGGGTAATATTCATTTGTGCTTTGCATTTATATATGAGTTCAAATAGTTTTAAAAGCATTCAAGTTTAGATTTGTAAATGACTAACAACACACTACTCATCCCAAAGGTGGGATTATCTATATAGTAACGGAGCCAAAAATATTGACAAGTAGAAGAAAATAATACATTTTGAAACACAGTAAAAAAAAAAATTCATGACACGATACAAAACGCCATTAATTGGACCAAACAATTTGAATGCCAAATACATTATTAATCAAAATACATTCTGAGTTCTACTATATGGGACTTCCAAATTTTACTCCATCAATTATACTCTCTGATGTGACAAGCATGGATATGACATTTTCATCTTGTGGTTCCAGGAAAAATTGTTTATATCCAAGATTTGTTAAAGAGAGTAAAAGTTAGAAATAAAATTTGGAAGTACTAGTATTTTCCATAAATTTTACTTGGGTTTGATTAACTCTGAAAATCCTTATGATGCCATAATCCTTTGACAAAATAAATTTCCCACCTTATCTTGGACAAAGTTTACCAATTGTTGACGCTTCATCACTCACCGTCACAGACAGTTCCAACGATATTTCTCTCATCGGCACCTTCCCACTTCCATTACGATAAAATGCAGGTTCACGAGGTGTTGACCAGTTATTAGTAGAATAACTACTAAGCATCAATACCACATCTTCCATTGTAGGTCTTTCATCTGCATCTTCTTGAACACATAACAGACCAATGTGCACACATTGGATGACTTCATTTACAGTATAAGACGACTTTGCGAGAACTGGATCTAGTATTTCTATTGGTGTTCCATCCCTCCATTGTTCCCATGCCTACAACATTATCACTTTGAAGTTCATAAGTTGGCAATGACATGATATTATGAAGGATTATTTCAAGCAAAAATATAAACATATTTAATCTTGTATGATGAAATTGTTAACGAAATATTACTACAAAAATAATATTTCTGAAAAAAATACATAGGAAGGTTTTGGAGGAAGTCGAGCCGAGTGGGAAAAATACACAGGAAGGTTATAAAGCTATTAAGAAGGAGCCTCTATGTTAACGATATAACCACTTTCCACGTCATTTTATACTATTTTTCCAACAAAAACAAACTTAAAACATAGAATATATATTATAAATGAAAGCTTTTACTCACATAGCTAAGAAGGTCTTGTGCTCTATTTGTGGTTTGGTAAGTGTTACGATTTTTCTTTCCAGAAATAATCTCTAAAAGCATAACACCGAAACTGAAAACGTCTGACTTCACAGAGAACTCTCCTTGCATTGCATACTCTGGAGACATATAACCACTACAAAGCAATATATCATCAGTGCAACAACTTAGTATAAGAAATATAATTAGAAGTAGTACAGTGTTTCAAATAAAGGCCTTTTCTACCGTGATGAATTTAACACCTAAATATAATGTAAATACTACTGTCAACTAAGGATGAAAATGCATGTGGTTAAAATGCATGGCTTACTATGTTCCAACAATTCTGCTTGTATTTCCTTGAGTTTGATCAATACCAAATATTTTTGCCATTCCAAAATCAGCTATTTTTGGATCCATATTTACATCCAATAGTATATTGCTTGTTTTCAGATCACGATGTATGATTCTAAGACGAGAATCTTCATGAAGGTAAAGTAGTCCCCGTGCTATTCCTCTTATAATTTTGTAGCGTTTTGACCACTCCAATACATGTTGTCTCTCAGAATCTGAATATATATATCAAAATATTTGCCCATATTACACCAAGTGTTGGGTAATGACCTTTTGGGTTAAGTATAATAGTAATGGAACTTTGAAGAAATGAAAATTTTGAAGTTTAAATTTACCAAATAAAAAGTAGTCAAGGCTTCCATTGGGCACAAATTCATAGATAAGTATCTTTTCTTCTCTTTTGGAGCAATATCCCAATAGTCTAACTAAATTTTTGTGTTGAAGCTTGGCAACTACTTCAACTTCGTTCTTGAATTCTTTTTCTCCTTGTCCTGAGCTCCTGGATAGCCTTTTTATAGCTATTTCTTGTCCGCTGGGAAGCATTCCCTAAGTATTAATTGGTTATCAAGAAACAATTAGGATGGACTAGTAAAATGAGCATATGTATATTGATGTTGTATAGATCTGAGTCAAATATTTTACCTTATATACAGAACCATATCCACCTTCACCAATCTTATTGTCAGGAGAGAACACATTGGTAATAAGTTGAATAGTAGCAAAATCATATTGCAAGGACTCCTCATTTGAAATCTCCCCAGTCACATCTAGAGGGAAAAAATGGGGATTATTACAAAACTATACAATGCAAATATTGTAACACACAAGATCGAATACAGAAATTAACTTTTTAGATCATATATATCCCAATCAATCTGGTTCTTTAATCTTTACCTGTTGTCTGTAGTTTAGTATTTTGTTTCTTAGAATTTCTAATTCTCAGAAAATAAAGGACTGCAATGAAGAGTAGTATAGTAATCCCAATGACTGGAACTACAACGGCAATAATCACTTTTGCAGAAGAACTTCCATGGCTTCCTGCATCATATATATCACTGAATCAAGTTAATGCTGGAAGATATATGGTAACTAAACTTTCAAACCAGAAAACATGGTAAACCACTCCACTCAAACACTGAATCAGGCTGGAAAAAGAAAAAAAAAAAAAAAAAAAAAAAATTACCTGGAGGAGCCGAAAGCGAATAATCAGCAGAAAAAGTTGATGAATGAACATGAATATCCGCCGGACTGATAGTTGGTGGAGCCTCAGGCGAATAAACAGAAGAATAAGTTGGTGAAGGAGCAGGAATATCAGCAGAACGGATAGTTGGTGGAGCCGGAGGAGAATAAACCGAGCTGTAAGTTGGTGAAGCAGCTGGAGAAGAAAAAGGAGGATAAGAATAGCGACCAAGGAGCTCACGATGAGAAGAAATAGAAGAGATAGTGGGTGGAGCAGGAGGAGAAGAAATAGGAGTGATAGTTGGTGGAGAGGGAGGAGAAGAAGAAGAAGTAAGACTGATAGTAGCCATTACCGGAGAGATTGCTCCGAGCTAGGCAGCTCTGCAATAACGTTTTTAAAGAACGTCTACGGAGTATTATTATTTCCATTATTGGTCTCGGGAGTATTAAGGGTGGCTTATTTTGTGAGAATCAAATATTTGGTAATGGTAATGAATTTTCTTGAAAGTATTTTTTATATTTGGTAGTAGGGTGGAATTGGGATGTTTGGTTGTGTATGACCTTGTAACGAGAATAATTTTTTTTTTTTTTTTTTTAAATAAAGAAGCTAATTGCATGTTTTTTGAATTGTTCAGGGACACAATTGCATGTTTTTTGAGTTTAATGGCCTAATTGTATTTTGGTGTGTAGTTCAATTGTTTATTTGACCCTTATTCTTTTTAATTAATAATGTGATTTTATTTAGAAAAGAGTTTGGTGCACAGATATATAGGACGGCACGCAAGTACTAGGTCAAGATATATGGTAAGTGCGAATGAGGTTGTGGTCTAGTAATATGAAGTGACTATCCTAAATTGGAAGTGACTTGAGCCTTAGTGAGGACGGTATTGATTCTTTGTGTTTGAATAGGTTGAGAAAGTAGATATGAACATATATTACATTGTAACAACGTCAGTAGTACTCAAAAAAAAAAAAAAAAACACATGGTAAGTGATAATAATTCATGAGACGGTCTCTCATGACATTCACTCATCCTATATATAATAAAGCCATATGGTCTTGTGAAAATTAAATGGTGATTATCAACATTTAATTTTCACAAGACCATAATAATATTGTTAATTATAATAACAATAACAATAATAATAATAATTGCAATAATAATAATGATAATAATTTTCACGGACAGTTTCTAATATATATATATATATATATATATATATATATATATTTATTTATTTATTTATTTATTTATTTATTTATTTATTTATTTATTTATTATATATATTTATATTTCAATTTCTATTGGCAAATGATTGTGTGAATGATGATCCACATAATTGTATGAATCATGAATATCGAATACATTTTTAATATATTAAAAATATATTATTTTTATATTGAAAGTACCTTACATACATATATAATGTACCCTTAGTATATTTAAAATATACTTTTTATTGCATGCAACCCCAAAGTTCATAAGTTTGAAATTAATATATGACATAGCTAGGAGGCCTAATATTTAAGATTGTTGATGTGCATATTGAGGACTACGGAGACAAAGATGCGTTATTCGTGGATTCATCGGATACTATCCAACTTAATTGACGTGAAGTAGACTTAGTAACATTAAGATTATATTCTCGAATTATTAGTTCTCATCTTTTATTGATTACACACTTAATTCGATAGTATTTGAAAGAAAAAATCAATGTTCGAACTAAGATTGTGATTTTGGTCTTTAAAGGTCAATTGTATGTTGCTACATCTAGAGTTAGAAATCTCAAAGGTCTAAAAATTTTGATCCGTGGTGACTCTAAAATTGTAATTCAATTACTATTGTAGTTTACTAAGTTCTTAAAAATTTGTAATATTAAATACTATGTACTAAATTTTTAATATAGTTTAAGATTTGTAGTAATCACCCACCTTAAGTATTATTTTAATTGTAAATATATTTATGTTCATAATTTTATCATAGGAATTCACACATATAATTATTAAATAACAAAAATTTTATATATGAATAAACCTTATATAGGGTATATTTTTATAACATATTTTCCGTGCATCGCATGGGACAAATACTAGTTTATTATAAATATAACTAGTATTTGTCCCGTGCGATGCACAGACAAAAATTTATAGGTATTGTTGTAATGTTATGATACTAAGCATAATTAGTTTTATTAAAAATATAATATAACTATACAATGTAATATTTAATATTTTTAAAAGTTTAATTATGTTATTATTATGTTAATTTTAAAGTTTATTGTTACTTGTATTATTATTTGTATGCAATATTTACATATGTGGCTTTAAAAAGAACCATTATATATATTTTTTGAATGTTACTGACTCTATTTGGCCGAGTCCGTGTGCTCTCGTGTGAACCTGCACCCCAACGGTCTGAAACCCGAAAGTTCAGCCTGTTGTACAGATTAAACTCATCTGTTACGGAATTAATACTGTTTTAATTCCAATTTTTAAATTCTGAGTTTAATCCTACTTAGTGGTGACCGTTACAGGTGTTATACAATTGGTTTAATACCAATTAAAGGCCATGTTGAATGCTATCCCTTCCAACATCCCTATATAAAGAGAGGTAGAGCAGTAGCATTTTTACATAGTGAGAAAAAAAAAAAAAGGAAATTCCAGTAGCTTTTCATCTCAAAACTCTGTTTCTACTCTCTTCTTTTAGCCAACAAGTGTTCTAAGCTTTGCTTTGTTTGCCGGGTTCCTTGTTTAGGTGCTTAAACAAGGAATCGTAGCACGTTTTATCCTGGGAAACCTAGGCTACAACGCTCCTAGCACTTGTGGGAGGTAGCAAATAAGGTTTTAAGGAAAAGAGCTTTCTGTTCGAACTCGTGCTAAACCTATACCCAAACACTCAACCTTTTCCTTCCCAGATTTTCTTTTTCCCATATAATATTAATCTTTTCGTAGGATTATTATTTTTGGAAATTTTTGCAACCATATTACCCAACAATACCTCCCATATAATAGAGTAACTTGATGCCATTAGACCACAAGGTCCTTGGCTGCAATATTTACATAAAATGTTTAAGGTTGAAGGTTGAATGAGCCACATATAATGCAAATTATATGTAATGACTTTCCGTGCAAATGAATATATACAAATTTATTAAGGTTATTAGTTATGTATGCAAATTATATATATGTAATGATTCTATATACCAAATTTATTTATATATAACCAGTTATGAGTTATGTATACAAATTTAACACACTATTTTTCGTGCAATTAAGGTTGGATGTTGAATCAGTAATGACTTTATTTGGTAAGCTTTATATATATATATATATATATATATATATATATATATATATATATATATACAAGTATCGAATTTAAAGTATTCACTTAAATATGATTTAATTTTGTTAAGTATTGTAATCTTATATTGATTAATTTCAAACTAATTTTTTTTTTTTGTCTAAAATGAGCGACAAAATGACACTTTTGTTTTAATATGTATATAGATAGACTGGAGGGTTGTTTCCCCATATATACATGATGGACACTCTTTTTTTTTTAAGATGAGGGAAATTAAAACGCACAGTTACTATTTGAAAGTGTGAATTTTGTAAATTTTACTTTTATATAATAATCTGTAAATCATATACGAAAGGTAAATGACAATAGTCCTCTCACATGCTCTGTTGGGTCGGAGTGTGGGGAGCCCTTAGAGTTGGGGATTCAACTTTTGGGACAAGGTAAATGGCAATAGAAAAGTTTAGTACATACGACTAATTAAATAAAAGAATATGGTAAAAATTAAACTCATGCCGTTGTGCAATATAGAAGACTTTTGATATTATGCATGGTTGACTCATTCACCAAGTGGTCAAAAATATTTAATAAACAATAGTACAATACTGGATAAGAATGGTGATCTGGATGGATTGAAGAACGATGTTGAGAGGCTGGAAGACTTCATAGTCATGACTCATGAGTCAACGGTAGTTTTTTTTTTTTTTTATACAGTTGTGAAATTAATTGAAAATTGCCTATAGTGAATCGTTACACCAACGACCAGGATTTACATTGTACTATGGATCTTGATTCATGTGTTTGTGTTTTGTGTTATATGATTTTTTGTATCTTGCGTTATGAAATTTAGTACTTTGAACAAATTAGAAATTGTGTCTTATGTTATGAATTTATGTGTTTTGTGTTGTAAAATTTTGTGTCTATGAACACAAATTATGTACCTAAATCAAATTTTAAAATTAAATAAGTATATAACATGTGTATGTGTCTTGTGTTATGAAATTATGTATCTTACGAGTACGGATTTTGTATCTTTTTTTTTAATCCAGCTGGGTGCATAATGTTATGTTATGTGTCTTGTGTTGTGATTTTTTGTACTTTGTGTTATGAAATTATGTACCTTACGCGTATGAATTCTATACCTCGTTGTTTCAATCCATGATCCATAATGCTATGTGGACCCTAGTCTATAATATAAATTGTCATAGCGGTAGACATAGGCCTGTTCAAGACAGAACCAGCCCTGAATCAACCCAAAAAAATCGGGCATGAACTTCACTAGGTTTAGATCGGACCTAGCCTGAATTGGGACCGCCTTGTACATGACCGGTCCAGGTCGGCAATTTATATCCTACACCACGGCGCGCATTGCAATATGCGCCCAGATGCAAAACGACGTCGTTTTAATTTTTTTTTTTTTTTTTTTTTTTGAAATTTCCCGCCCCAGTGAATGACAGTAGTTTTTTCTTTAAAAAAAAAACTCGCTGTTCAAGAATGTACATAATGTTATACTAGAATACACATAATTGTATACATGAATGTACATAATTATATAACAAAATATACATACTCTTTTTAAAAGATAATACACATAATCTAACATAATACATAATAAACATAAACTTTTAACATAATACACATCAACTATTAACATAATACACACAAATTTTCTGATTCGGATGTACATAATTGTATAAAAAATGTACATAACTGTATGAACCAATACACATAACTGTATGAACAAATACACATAACTGTGTGAACAAATACACATAATCCTAGCAACTTCCTACCGCGCCTCCCAAAACGACGTCGTTTTGGGAGACGCGCGGCGCACAGTGCTATGTGCACCGTGGTGTAGGGTATAACGATTGGTCTAGGTCCTATTAAAAAAAAAAAAATAGTCTGGGCCTAACTCGAAACCGACCCAGGATCGGGTTCATGCACAGCCTAAAGACTAACAAATAACAATGGCCTGGGACTCTGGAAGGCAGCAATATTGAATATTGAGTGTATAATATTGAATGAAAATGTAGTTATATAGAAATGAAACTGTAGTTATGTTGAAATGAAACTGCAATGGCTCTGTTTGGCAGAGCTTATTTAGGAGCTTATAGCTTATTTTAAGCTACTAATA